GATGGTTTTCTAGAGCTCTTCTGTTATCTCCGAACTGCCAGCTGAAGTGTGAAAACTGTTCACAAGTTCACAGTTAAGGTACTACACTGAGACTCATTTCAGTTTGCAGCTTCAATGCAGAGGAAGAGGACGTAGAGACAAAGATCCCAGACACTGACTGTCTTTCACAAGAAACTTTAGCAGGTGCTTTTCTTCCATCAGCATCCGTAAATCTTTGTTTCTCTCCTATTCTTGCCCTTTGCCACAAAGTTGCAATGATACTGATGAAATAACATTACTCCAGACCTTCTTTCCCTTACCCAAGAAAGGCAGGGATCAGTCCCGAGGGTCTTTTGCCTTTGGCACCAAATATCTGCCATACGTGATCTCTCCAAGGACAGGGTTGAGGTGAGAAGGGAAAGTTGCATGAAGGCACCCTAAAAGTGTCCTCAGGAGGACAGAAGCCACCCATGCAACAGAACAGCAAAAGCTTGCTTGACCTTGATTTTAACACAGATCATGAAAACAGGGCCTCACCAACCTCTTAACTTTTATGATTTTAAGTTGGAGGTGTCAGAAAAGTTCCTGCGTGGGTACCTGGCCCTGTGCAGCCAGAAGTTTGAAGGATCAGGAGGAGAAGCTGCTGTGATGCTGCCTCTTCCCATGATGGCAAGTTGTGCTTCCTGTCACAAACTGTTTGACTGTTCACCCACTAGCAGGGAGCAACATTTAGGTTTAGGTTTGGAAAATAGGCAACTTTAACCCTTCCGATGGTGACATGAAATATATAAGCAAAGTCATGTTTTTCCACTAGCTGGGGCACAAAAGAACCTTTGTACTAAAGCTTGAGGTAGCAAATAAAGTACTGCTAAAATTGCAGTTCAAAACCCATTGATATTAGCTCATGTCCTATTTCTTTACAAGTTACTGGGAAGATGACTCTCTTGCATTTCAAACCAAAAGGAACATACTGAGAAGACTTTTACATATACCTGAGGCATGATCTTTTAAAAGCAAACTAAGTGGGAGGGGAGGGGGGGGTAAAGAGAAAAACAACCTTACCTGGGTAATAATTTTTTCCATTTGAGGCTGAGTCATATCTGGAATAGTGGTTTTAAGAAAATCAACAATGTTCTCAAAACTCTCACATCCCATTATAGATGTTTCTTGACTGCTAAGGAGGCTCAGTGCTACTTTAAATATGACTTCTGTTCCTTGAAGAAAAATAATGTCTAAAAAATAAAATCATTAAAATATATTGAAAACAAGAACTAAAGTAATTGGATAAATATATACATATATGCTGGACTGTTTTTAATCAACCATACTGCAGAATTATTCAGTTCAGGAGAAGTGCGATCAGTCTTATTTCACCATGAGGTTGAAGAATATAAAAGCATTTTCTGTCATCTTATAGATGTGGGAGCACTAAAAAAATATTGCATGCTTGTTATGTTTGTTATGATTATCTGCAATAAGCATTTCATTACTGTCTACTGGAGATTATAGACTGTTAACTGATTGCTAACTGTTTTTAAGTGCATCTATGACTGAAAAGCAATTGGGAAGCGGATCACAACAAAATACTGACATTTTACTGTTTTCTACAGGCAGAAGCGAGTCCTTAAAAATCAATCATATAGATTCCATAACCAATCATACCATTTTCAAAATCCATAGTGGTGATCACATTGGGTATAATTTAAGCTGCAAACCCTTACTTTGAGGTATAATTACGTGGATGTGAGGGGAAAGTCTGGGCTCTGCAGAAGTCCATAGACACAGACTGCACGGAACCTGGAACTTGATCACAGTAACTAGAAACTCTGTCTCGGTAGCAGGAGTGGACTTGCAGTTACAGAGATGAACACAGTACTTGAGCAGTTCAGATAAGCTTCCTGTGCTGTTGGTTCTGTCACACCACCAAGAGCAGGTCTACACAACTGAACAAATGCAACTTCAGATCCTGATACTGAGAGATCATCCCTGGCCCTCGTCCAGTACCACAGGGTAGCACTAGGACACTGGCGAGGCAACCATCTCATACACAGTTCCTAAAAGTCTCCCTTCTCAAGTCTATAATGCACATTCAAGCAGCACAAATTTAAGTATATGATTTGTGATGGGTAGACATTAACCATCTCTTCCTGATATGTGACAATGGCCCAGAAGACACTGAAGATGCAAAACTACATAGTCACTTTTGAGTTTTAAAATGTTCAGAGAAATGAACACTGGCCCTCTCCACCCCTAAAAAAAAAAACGCTTTCCAAATTCAAAGTCTACTGAAGACAAAAAAGAGAAGAACACTTTAGCCTTGAAAAACAAATCAAAAATTAAAAAAAATTAAACGCTTGAGTGTCCTGGAATTCAATAATGTCACTGGGAAGGAGATGTACCAATCATGTGAATATCACTGAAGAACAGGTACACCAATCATTTGTTCACCCAAAGAGCAGTCAGAAAGTTTACTGTAAAAGGAAAAAACCTCTGACATGAAGAAATCACTAGGTCAAAAAAAAAAAAAACAACCAAAAACCAACCAAAGCAACCCCTCTTCCCCCAAAACCACCATGCCAAACAAATTAAAAAGCTAACACACACCACTAATAAAACATGAGACAAAAGTCAGGTTGCATTTCTTCAGAAAAGACAAAAGGTGCCATATGAAAACAGAAAAATCAAATGTAAAAAAAAGTCCGATTTAAGAGGAAGTACATGACATATGCTCCTAGTTTCTTGGTGCATATCTGAGTGCAGGAAGTTTTACATTAATAAATTTTTTTAAAATGCTGTATTATTAGAGATTTGATTAAGATGGCTGTTCTTATTGACAAAAAAAGAATACAAAACAGAGTACTTGACATGCTGATACTGTAAGCATTACAAGGCACAATCAATATTTAAGCTTCTGTACTAGACGTTATCTGAAGAGCATATCATGGCAAAAAACATCTAAATGGAATAAGAGGCATACTAAGACTAGGAAACTGTTCAATATAGACATGAATAACTGAAACAGCCTTTAAGTTCAAGTTTTCCTGAATTTTTATGAGAAAGCACTTTAGAATAAGTCATTCAGAAACACCTTATTGAAAACCAATGCATTCTCTTTTCTCAATTTGCAAGTTCAACGAGATGAACTTTTCTACAGACACAGACTGAAGGCTTGATGCATAAAATACATTTGCAACAATAAACTTCCCGCTGTTCACACTTCAGAAGTCTCTTGGCTAGTAACAGCAGACATACTTAATTGCTCAAATATGATGTTTCAAATAATACATTTGCAGTTTTCTTCTTTGAAAAGTAGTTGACATCCCACCATGAAGAGTATTGCTACTTGCCACCCACAATAGTCACCCCAAATGCCCCTAGTATGTAGAAAAGCACTCCCCGAGAGTTTCAAAACACAATAGACAACACTGTTCTGTTTATTATTGCAATAGAATAAACTTTCTTACCAAATACTCTGGCTACAAATCCTAATGGAAACTGAGATGCGAACAGTGTAAGAAACCACGGTGCAGCATAAAGGCTGGGACTGATTTCATTTTCTTCAAGATGATTATACAGGTCTCTGTGATAATCATGAAGAAGCCTTGAGAGCTGATACATCTGAATCTACAGTGCATAAGGAGGATGGGGGGGAAGGAAGTAGAGAAAGAAAAGTTCAGCTTTACTCAGTTTTCCAAACCATTCACATTTCACTCGAGGGAAATTAACTCTAGGACAGATGGCACTGTAAAATGAAGCTTAATTGTTGCCTAGGGCCTCCGCTGATATCTACTCATGGATAAACAACCCACCCCTAATGAATTAAAACCAACACAGTAGTCAACAGCAAAGAACAGTTTGAACCTGACTGTTAATGAAGTAGCATTTTAGATTCACAGGCTTAAGCTAAGAAGATAATCTATTGATCTAACTTTATCAACAAACCAAAACTTTCAGTCTTGCAGCAATGAAAGTAAAAGCACCTTTTCCAAAATGCCAAAACTCGCCATTACAAAGCTGAACTATTTGTCTAAATTTACACACTTCAGCTTTCATTCTTTGACTCTTGGCCATATTTTTGCTGCATCTAAAACTCCTATGCTACAATCATCACTTCAGACAGCTTCAGTACCCACAGGGTCCATTAGATACAGTGGGTCAACAGAGGTGTACCACATACATGTTTCCCAGCACACCTCCCATGTGTCAGTGGTCCAGGAAATTTATGAAAACAGTGCTGCTATACAAGCTGTAAAAGGTTGCAAAGTGGTTAAAAGTTGCTATTCACTGATAAAAATAGCACCGTGTGGCAAATTATTTTCTTGCAATTTTGAGAGTTAATATTCCACAGTAAGTTGCTCATAGCACAGAGTGACGCTTCTCTCAAAAAACAGAAGATGAGAAGCAGATGTATACTGATTAGCTGTCAGGTTCAATTTTGCTGCCAATGGTGCCTTATGCTTAAGGTGAGTTCATTCCTCAATAAGAAAATGACTTTTTGGATCCATCTGCTTTCCTACTTTTAGTGGTCATAATTTTTTACTACCACAAACTGACTATCCTTGAAACCATCTCTCAGTCAGCAGCGTCCGCAAGCAGACAGATCACTTCTCATTCAGGCAAATTAGCTAAATTTGCGCATGCATTTGAGTCCTTGCTTTAATTGCCGAAGATCCTAATTAAGCACAATTTGGACAGTGTCGATACAAAACACATCTACATGGGAAATTTGAATAGTACCACAGAGGCAGTAAACCCATTGGAGGGGTTCATTATGAACTAAGGATCTAGACTACTACTTTTTCCAGACAACAATTAACAATATAAGTCATATAAGTTTTCATTACCCTATAGCAACATCCAACTTTTTTTTTTCTACAGGACAGAAGCTACTTCTGCATATAAGCTTACTTGTGTTTCACTACTGTAAAAGCTAAAGAATTTGCAAGTGCTCTACTCTTGTCAAAACCAAAACAAATGGTTAGGCTTTAGTGAGATCCTCTAAGTCATTTTCAATAGTCTAGTTTGTCTTAAGCAGACAAAACCTGTACTTTTGTCTAGAACAGGATAACTGCCTAGGAGCAAACTGTGGGGAAAGAGAGGTCCTTTCATTTAAAGGGTAAGCAGTACTACAGGCAATAAACCTTCTCAGACTTTAAAAGCATTCTTCCTAAGAGCATCTGCCGATGAAAGTTTCAGACTCATTTAAATCAAAAGGCGAAATTCTGGACATCTGAATGCTCTCAAACATTAGATATTATTGAAAGTCTACAAATGCAGTATAACATACACAAAAAGAGCATCTTCTTGGAAAAAAATCCCACAACCACACATTTATCAAACTTTGACCCCCACTAGTTCAAAACACATTGGGGGGGGCGGTGAGAACAGGACATGGAAGAAGTAGAACGATATTCTTTATGGCTGTTTGCCCTTAATTCATCAAAAAAACTTGTTATACTTACATCCACAATAAAACAATCCTCATTATTATTTTTAGAATAAGCACATAGAATTCTTTTAACTACAATATATTCTATTGTTCTGGACATTTGCCAAACAAGCACCTAAAGTGACCGGTCATGAAAAGTGAACTGAAACTCCCCCTTAAGTTTTTAAGTTTTTACTTAATTATAAGTGTTTACTGTGTAGGGAGCATGGAAAAAAAAAGTCCTTTGTATCTCCTCTTAATTTTCTCTTTCTCCACTGCGGATTACAAGCTTTCACTCAGCAGTGGTATATCCCTTTATAATATTAGGGGCTTATAGCATACAGTTACTTAAGTCAGTGGACAGTTGCACCTGAAGGTGAAAGATTCCTCAAACTTTAAACCCTGATATTTATACAGATCTGAAAGATTTTCTGCCTTCTTCCTAAGCAGCCTGGAGTATCTATAGATAGCTGCTAAAGACTAATATTGCAGAGCACGCATCATTTCATAGGCAAACTAAACTATTAAAAATTCATCTGTTTCCTCTCTGTGTTGGAGGTGGTGCGGTAGAGAATGATGAGAGATAAGAGGTGCAAATGATGAGCCTAGACAGAGCAGCCCAAGTACAAATGCCTGCGGAGAACATTGACTGGCCACTGGGTGTCACTGTTGGCTTGACTTGGAGCTACAAGAGAAAAATCTACATCTATACGCTTCTAGACTGAAGAAAAACAAAATCAAATGTATTTTTAAACTCCATCTATACAGATGCAAGCATATCGGGGTTTTGGCATAAGGAATAGAGAGTAGTGAGAAAAAGAAATGGAAGAGCAAAATAGCAGAGAAAGCAGAGTTTCCAAACAGGAGATGATGGGGACGTGTTACAGGAAAAGTCTGCAAGGTCTGAACTTCTCTGTTTGCAAATTCAGAGTCAGAGAGGGGTTTCACAATAATATTTGGATGCACCTCACAACCTCCAAAACAGCATAACAAGCTTCACAAAGCCCTGGAGAACATGAGCAACCTCTGAGAGCTCAAAAGACATTTAAAACTCTGTTTTGCTTTAGGAGGAGGACTGACTTACCTGTAGTGACATCATGTCTGGCCTGTACTGTTTACGGAAGCCAAGGTCATACATGAGGAATTTCAGCATTTCAAAGGCCTGTTCCTCACTCATATGTAGAAGCAGCACTCCAGCTACAAAGCTTATACCTTGACAATAACCCACTTCTTTGTCCAGCAAAGAGTATGCTTTCAGGAGATTAAAGAGCGATAGCTGTCCTGCTCCCAGGTGGGCGGAAAAGTAAGGATGTGTAGGATGATGCGAAGAGAGAAGAGTAGTTGATATTTAATTCTTCTTGTAAAAAAAAAAAAAAAAAAAAACCCAGATCCATCTGACAACCAGTACTTCTCTCTTCCCATAGACCTTCTCTCTTTGCTTTCATACGAAGGTTGACTTCAGTCAGATCAATCCATAATTTATCACCAATTTTAGACTGTATCCACTGAGTTCATTTCATATTCTCACCTACATAGAACCTGCAGAAGCAACTGCTTGATTTCTTTTCAGACAGATGTAGAAGAGCAGAAACACAAACAGTGTAACCTAAGAAATAATTTGCTTAAAGGATGCTAAGTGGCACACACAGAACATATCCTGACAACATAGAAAGTGGTCCTGATGCAACAGTATCTATATCCAGCAACAGCTTCCATTTTTAAAAACTGGTGTTTCCACTAAGACACATGAAACAAGTCAAAAAAATCTCCCAGCTACAAACAGACATACCTAGATCTACAAGGATGGCATGCTGTTGAGCAGTCAGTTGTTTCAGAAGTTCCTTGTAAGAGATGTCAGGAGGCTGCTGCTTGTTTGGCAGTCTGTGTCTGACTCGATGTTGCACAGCCAAAAACTGCCAAATTTCTCCCCGACGACTTTTTGGTACACCTGCAAGTCAGTCAAAAAACAAGAGGCCTAAGTAGGGGCATATTTTTAGTGCTGTAACACAAGTATTTGCTTTGTCATAATCTTGCCTGTCATAGTCTTTGCCAAACCACTCCGGAGGATCCCTTACAAACAGTCAGCTTCAGAAGTTGTCTGCTCTGCAGTGTATTCCCTCAGTAGCCACAGTTCAGTTTCACTAACTAAACATTAACTACAAACTTACAGTAATTACACTGAACAGTACACTGGGCAACTGAGGTACAGACATCATTTGTTTTGCCGCCTCTGAGCTGTTAGCCTCGAGCAGGAAAAAATACATGACTACACGCACAAGGCAGACTGGCCTGTTTAGAAAGGCTGAACTAAATTCACTGGTGTAAAATACAGGGAGATCCACCTTCTTTTCCCCTTCCCAAAGGGCTGCTCATGTCAGTCCATAGGCTTGGAACCTTACTGCCTTCTCAGTAAGCAAGTAAAATCAGAGCATCTGAAACTCAGAGTCAACTGGATAGGAGCCACATACCAGAAGTTAGCTGTTGAAGCTCCACAATCAATCTTTGATATAGTAATACATGGGCACAAGATGCTACTTTCAGGAGTACAGCTATACATGCTTCTGCATTGCTGACATTGTAAGCTGTAGACACAGCAGAACCCATTTTCTGTTTGGCAGCAGGAGGTGGGTGGATGCATTTCCAAAAATAAGGCAATTTTGTAATAATTTTGTACTACTGGAAAAAAGTGTACTGATGGCAGATTTCCTTTGGTATGAAAAGGCAAGAAGAAAAAATCTTCATATTTAATAGTTAAAAGCCATCCTTCACAAATACCTTCTTTCAAAGTGGAATGAATATCTTCCATGTCACATCGGATTTTGGCTCTGCAGTTTAGTAACTTCTTATCCCAAACATTTACAACGTCTTTCTGACATGTACCAACTTCATCATAGTCCAGTTTGACTTTTCTTGACTGGAGCTCATCTCTGCTTGCTAGAGCACAGACCAGAAAGGAAGAGCACACAGCAAACCAGAACATCAGAAAATTACAAGAAACATCAAATACACAAAACCTACTAAAGTTAAAAATACCTATCTGATAATCTGACTAAGGATAAATACATCTTCTACAATTCATCTGTTAATAGCTGATATGGGGCCAGTCTTTTGTCACAGGATGCTGCAGGTAACAATTTAACTTCTATTATTGGGGCATGAACATTAGTATAAGCAAACATTTTTTTAAGGCCTGGGGCACTCAACACAATCAACTTCACCACATGCGCTGCTTCTTTCAACTGCAAAAACACCCTTGAACATTTTTCTCTTGTTTATGTTGAACACTAGAATTGTTTTAGTATGGAAAGTCCCAAACATACAAATGTTTATACTAGAGATTTAGGCAAGCAAGCTAGGCAAGTCTTCTTAATTGAAGTTTGTCACAGTGGTCCCAGTTTTTACATGTCCCTTAAGAGAGTCATAAGAGCTCTTGGCACTGCTACCTGGCATCATCAGGCTGACTAGAAGTAAATAGAATGAACCAACATGAACCATATCCAGAAAGGTACATCTGTCCTGTATACTTAACAGATTTCCTGCATAGGACTACCTGCCACAAGATGTTTATTCCAGAGAACTCACTATTTCTGAAATAAAGCTGCAGAGTTAGTCTGGAACTTCATGGAGGAGCAGCTTTCATTTCCATTACTGGGAAATTAACTGTGGTTATTTTATTATACATGATACGCATGCAGAAAAACACTCCAATTCCTCATACTACTGGTATAAAAACTGGAATCAAGATCTGAATGTGTCTTAATTTACAGAGATAGGTTTAATTATCACTGGACTGAATTGTACACTTCACAACATGACCCTGAAAGCTACAATTATGTTTATCTCAAATTTGCCTTGATCCGTGTACAGTACTTGCTCCTTGCAGGAGACTCCTTCCTCTTACAGATGCACCTCTCCTCCCCACCGTCATCTCTAGGTGAAAGTAAACTCTCACTCAGGTTTTTATACAACCTGCAAAACAAGACAATCAGTTCCTTTGCCTAATCATCTCACTTTGAATACAGCCGATATTGGATGAATCCACAGGATCATTGCCTAGCCCACTCCAAAAATGTAGGTGACAAATTATTCCAAAAGCTGTGTTACACCTCTGAGACCATATCTATTCATACAGGGGGCCTTGCAAAAACAACTATTATGCAAAGTGCAGTACACTTCCATAAAAATGGGAATGTGATCTCACCACAGGAATTTGCAGTCCAATTGGGCCATTTTTAAATGTTATTCTATTGCTATATAATTTCATCTGAGAATGCCCACTTTCATAAGCAGAATATGACAGTTTCAAGACAACAGTAAATATTTCAGTGTGACAATACACTCCAGAACTAAGCACATGGGTTATCATTCACCGAACGGTACTTTGGCTTTGCAGTTAATGCTAGTGGAAGACAGCAAGCTTGCCTGTTGATCATACTTGCCCTACCTACTATGCCAACCTTGGTTGCTTGCAACCATCCAGGTTAACGTTCTTCCTAATCATTGCTAGGTGGCCTGCTGCTTTTTGTAGTTCTTATATTTCTATATGATCTACTAGAAAAAGTAGGTTTTAGCTGCTCAGAAAAAAAAATACGCAAGTTTGTGCAATTCACAGAACTTACCTTCTATAAAACAAAGAGCTAACAGTATTCAAGTCTCCTCGACAGCAGAAGGAACAGGAAAAAAGGTTCTATTAATATTTTGCAAATAAAAATCAAAAAACGTTAACTGAAAACCACTAAAAACAATTCCACAGCAATTCCAGTCTTAAACCAGTCATATACAGCTGAATAAACTCACAGCTATAAACCCAGCTTCAAGTAGAGAAATGGCTGCATTTCTGTTACTACATTTCTCGTAACTGATATTTGTATTTAATTCTAGGCTAGGATGCCAACCACTGCCTGAACCAGTGCTTGTTTGGAATGTATCAGCCCTGCATATGTCTTGTCCATAAAACGGCCCGTGTTACAGCAGCCCACAGGAAATAAGGCTAGAGACAGGTATTAAGACAGTTTACTTTTCACCCTCTGAAAATAAGATGATGAAATTTACCTAGCCAGAGCACCAGTGTCACTAGCAGCACTTATGAACCTGCATACAAGAATGAAGACATGCTCCTTGCAGCACAAACCAAGATGTTGACTGGCAGATGGGTGCCAATGTGGACTCTCCACTGCTGACACTCCTGTTTTCATCATGAATGATCAGGCAGGCAGAATTTATTTTCTACAGATCAGTTACAGAATGGAAATAACCTACAACTGAGTCTTAAGGGAACTGGACAGATTTAAGTTTTCAGTACTGCCAGCCATGCAGGGAAGATACAGAGAAGAGTTTGTTCCTCAGCAGCTCATCCTACCAGAGGGAATAACATGAAACTAGTCACTACAGCAGACATCCAGCTTCCCTACCCCACAACAGTAGACTGACCATTTGGCTAAAACAACAAAGATTTTGGCTGAAGTTAAAAGAGACTCCTCTAGATGTTTTCTATGAATGTAGGAGTTTCCACAGAAGTGTGTGTCAACAGGGAAACAAACTGTAGAGAGAGTGCACAGAGAAGTATGCTACATGTGTGGGAAATACATTAAAGGATGTACACTTGTAGGGACATGGAAAGATATCTATCCTGCTGTTTTTCTTTCCTCCCCCTGCCTTCTCAGTAAGGACCACTAAAGGAGGAAAAAGAGTTAACTGACCTTAACAAGATCATTATGTTTTTCTGAAGAATCAGACTACCATATAATGAGGTTATACACCACACAGGAGAAGGTAAGTGCAGCAATTGCAGAGAGGACATTTGAAATTTTCAACTTGCACTGAAAGCTATTTGTTTATTATACTGAAGAACTTCTATATGCTAACATAGACATTCCACCCTATCTTTTATTTGTCTGAGTTTTGTCCAGTCATAATAAAATATCTTAGCTGGCAGGTCAGGCAGTTGAGAAGCCAGCATGGCCAACTTCAGAATCCTCCGTAACAGCACTCAGTTTTCAGTGTACAGTGCTCATCTTCTGAAAAAAAAATAACTTTTTGACATACCTCAAGAGGCAGTTGCTCAAAAATCATATTTGGATTGAAATATAAATTACCACTGTAATGTGGTTAATGAAGGATAGAAAGCCTGAAGACAAACGCCATGCACTGCAAAGGACTGAAACAAGATAGAGAGGGCAATGTTTACCACACCTAAGTGTTCACACTGCATCCATTCTCCCGACTCCACGTTAGAATTCCTAGACTTGATCAGCTAGAACACAGAACAGCTAGCAACCTTTGTCTAACATGCACTAGAAAAGTTATCACTTTCTTCTTTAACTAAGGTGACTCATTCAGAGTAGACTGAGAACCCGGTAGACTGTGAGACAGGACTGGGCGAATGCGAATGTATTTCTTTCTAGCACTGTTAATCAAAAGTTACAGAACCACACCTCTGTCTGAGGTGCCCAACACCAGTACAGTTTTCAGCTTCAAGCAGCACAATTTGTAACAGTTTTTGGGAGTATTTCTAAATAGCTAACCTTCCAGCTTCTGGTTTTCTTTTTCCATTCGAAGTAACAGAATTTGTTGATGGATGGCTTTTCTCCACAGACTTTGTAGTTCTTCTGAGTTTTTCCTTTCTCCAGTTTTATCTGGACCATCCTCAATTTGCAATACTAGAACAAGAGGATCCTCCTCCAAGGGTGGAGCAAGAGGAGATAATGGCAACAATTCACTTCCATCATGACCATCTGCAAAGAATCAGAAAGCTATTAAAGGAAACTCAGATTGTTTGACATATCACAAAAATTTAAGTCACAGCAGAATAAAAATAGCTGTCTTCCACATTCAACAGTGAGGTGCTGATTCCCAAGACAGAGAAAATGCAGTTCAACAGTAGAAAATTATTTTTAAATAAAATATTTTATTTAAATTCAATAACATTATATTTACATTAAATAAAGCTAAATAAATGCTCACCCAGTATTTCAACCCTTTCCCCTGTTAGCTCCTTCTAGAGTTACAAGGAGACATTTATTCATTAAGTCTCCTTTATGGCTGAGCTTGTTTACTACTGTGATTTACCCCAGGCTCTATACTTAAAGCAACTTTTTCTATCTGCTAAGCTGAACTATAGGCAGTGCTATAGCACTTCATGGTCACTAAATACAGAGTTTGTCATTTAGCTATGGTTGTGAATTCTGCCAACAGGACTATTATCAACATAGCAGGACTTCACATATTTCAGAGGTTTCTACCTTAAATGACTCGAACCTGTAAGAATTATTAGCACACTCAACAGGTGCTGTGTGCAGTATACTGCAACACTGCTATTATATAAGCAGGCTAGAGTAAAAAATTGCTGTTACAGAGGATATCTTTGTCAGCAAGAGGCAGTTCATTGTTTCCTTGCTAACACTGCAGCCACAGCAGATTGCAATTAATTTGATTTTGATGACAGAATCCTCTGTCCAAAGCAACAAAGACCTAAAGCCAACTGAGCACAACTGATCTCTAGTGAGGTCCCAGCAAGAATACTGTAGCAAGCTGACTCCCTTCTCCCATTCCCATTTTCACATGTTGCAGTTCACTGTAGTAATAACTATTCAGTAATAACTGCTTGTTTATTTTCTTTAAAAGCACACACAGACCTGGATGCTGCATCTTGGAAGGAGATTTATTCATAGGTGAAGCTACCTGCAGGAATATTCTCCGCCGCCAGGAGATGCGGCGAGGTGTAAGCGTGGCCCCCACAACATTTATAGATTCACTGCTGCAGACAGTTGATGTTCTTTTCTTTCCCTCTCCATCACTGAAGGAAAGAAAAAGCAGATGGTGAGATGAAAGTCAGTCATCTTTGGAGGGGAGAAAAAAAACAAACCCATCTTTATTAAGCCTGTCTAACATACAGCCAAACCTGCAGGAGCATTTGCTGGGAAGCTTTCGAAGGCAAAGCATGCTGTGTGTGAGCTTCACCTTGAATACAGAAGTGCCCAATTGTTTTCATGTAACACAGTGATATTAAGTTTGAACTATATACTGCTAGGAAGAATTCATAGCATTCTCACAGGGCTCAGCTGGAAGATCAGAATAAAAGCTAAACTTTCTGAAAAGCTAAGAGAAAAACATGGTAATGTTTAGCCTCCAAAACAGACAGCAATGGGTTTTGTTTTGCCATACATTAGTCTTACAGGAGCAATCTGATGTAATACCCTTAAAAACATAGATGCTGGTTTACCACACCACAATACTCCATGTAGTGTCATTTTAAATGACATGATGAGCTCACAGGTGAATATTTCATCGGAGGCAATGTTCTGGCCTTCTCATGCAGCCTATTTCCTGTGCTTCAAGAAGCAGACACTTCACTTGCACAAATGCGCCAAATGCCCTCATATTTCATCAGCATCTCCAGCTGAAGGAGCAGAGCCTTGCCAAACAGAAGGCAGGTTCAGTTCCTATCACCATGACCTGAAAGGAGTTGATCTCCTCCCCAGTTACCATGTATAAATATATTTACACAGTATTTTTAATATCAGTGTATGTTGCTGGAAGAGGCAAGGAGAGGATACAAGGAAGCTTTGCTTGGAGGTCCATGTTAAGCGGACACCAAGCACACCTCTCTACTGACTACTGACAGGAGAAAGGACATTTAGCTTTCATAAGTACTTGAGCCACCTTCAGAAAAAAATCAGCATTTTGCATTTGCGGTAGTAAAGTAGGTGCACAGATCTCATATAGCAATAGGTACATTGATTATCATCTGCCACAAATCCTGTGTCAACAGCTTCATCTTCATCACAGGGAAAACTGCTACATCAACACAGCAGTAGATACACTCAAACCTTCATCCTGTGAAGGACTTCCTGTGCTACAGGCCCTTAAAAAGAGTTAGATGAAAGGAAAGCCCAGCACATTATGTGTTTAGTGGTAAGTTAGTTGCAGATAAAATCACAATTTGCCAGCTGCAGTCCATCTCTCCACATCTGGCTTGTGCAAAAGAAGAAATCTGCAAGGGAGGCAGACTATGTCTTAGTGAAATTTCAGCTATATCACTCTACTAACTACACCATCTCCATCAGCGCTTTTCCTATCAAATACTCTGTGCCAAATGATAATCCTCCAAGCTAGAACTGGCCTTTTCAGTGATCAAAACTGTCCCTGTGCTAATGATCTACAACAGCTCCCTGACATCTGTAAGCCTCAATGAGCAAACTGGACTCACTATTATACACAGGTATCAGACCCTGCTTCCATATCCTGCCAGAGAAATAATTGTGTCTTCAAGCTCACTTACCCAGCACCAGGCATCACCCCTGCACTCCTCTAAGAACTGTGCTATGGGCTGGGAGCCCTGGATAACAGTCTGAACTATTCTTTACTCCTTCTACAGTGCCTCAGTTCCCTATGCATCATACTATTAGTAGGTGCTCTCAGCAAAGCCCCATGTTTCAATAACCAAAACAGCAACAGACTGCCCTGTGACAATCTTCTTGGCTACCTCTTGCACAGTCTTTGGTGATGGGGTAACCACTGTTCGTGTTAGCTAAACAAAAGACTACAAAACTAATTTTGAATCTAGAGGTGCTGTTTCCTGAAAGTATTTCAGTCCAACAACTCTTGGAAACAAAGGATTGAGTTTGGATATATTAATCATTGTAACTCATGTTTCTATAAATAACTGTGACAAAACTACTTCTCTCTATTTCAAGTCTTGCATATCATATGTTAGAACACAAACTTAGTCATGCCAGGGCTTACTAAATAGAAGCTACACAACAAGGGAATGAAAACTTCCTTTTAACTGCTATGTACAAAGATCTGCATTCAGCTACTGGGCTGCTAAACATGTAGACAGTCTTAGGAATAGCGTCCAATTTACAGGAGTAAAATTTACAGGAAAGTCAGAATAAGAAAGTGGCTACTTTAGGGTATGAAACCAAGCTGTTTACATTATTTGAGTCACAGAGTTTATGGTGGGATGGATTAGTCACACGTGCTACCTGGTGAAGTGTGCAAATCATACAATTCTGAGGACTTGTATTTCTGTTGTTACACCCTCCCAAAATTCCCCTGACATTTTAAGCAACTAACATAAATCACCTCCTCTTTCAAAGAGCTGTCTGATGAGTGATTTCAGAAAAGCTTTTGAAAGTTTTGTGCGCACACCTTGCCATATTCAATGGAAGGCAAGGGCACCTGTGAAAACACCAGGAGTTAGAAAAGGGAGGCTACAAAGAGAGCAAAGAAAGCTTCGTCATTTCAAGTTGGACAGACAAGTCCTAGCTTAACATCAGATCTGAAGGTGTGAAACAATACCCTACAGAGTAAAAGGAGGAAGAAGTCAGACTAAAATGGTAGTGCTGCGTATGCTGTGATGAAATGCTTCAGAAAGTTTGTGCAAAAACCAGATGACTTAACTGAATCACCTATTCCCCACCTTCAAACAGGAGTAGCATAATACTCACTTCCTAGACTTTACCATCTCTCATACCTAAACTTAATTGGCTGTCTTTGCTCTTGGGTCATATTTGCAAGATTACTTCAGGTTCTAGGGTAGCCACGGATTTTAACAGCCAGGCAGGTAGGTGCTCTGCTCAGACAGTCCAGCAACACCTTATACAGTTCCTCTAAACAGGGTGGGGATAAAGAAAAAAAAAAGTGTATCTGACCATTAGCTATCCGCTCCCAGCAAAATGAAGAGGTTTATTAATGTCAGCAGAGAGACTAAGAGCAAAAGCAGCTCCAGAAAACAACAACAACTTCTTAAATGGAGTTCACTCACTGCTACTGAAAAGCAGGGCAGAGTTTTCACTACCTCTCAACCTGAGGAAACCGACACTTTAACAACTTTCCTGTCAGGGCACTGATACCAAACCTTAAACACTCACAGAAAAAATTCTTAAGAATTATTAAAAAATAATGCCCTGTTCTGACATCATAAACTCAATAAATTTATAACTGCTCTATAAACTATGGATTATAGCGCCTAGACACTGGGGCAAGGTAGGGGATGAATACTTCTTGGGTAATACAGTGACATTGACACCAAGTAGAAAAAAAATAAATAACTACTTTCCTCAAGTTCCTGTCCTGCTGCAACTTGCCAACAACTGAGCAAGCTGAAATGCACCAGAGTCAATGCACTGCAAATTAAGAGATGGCAGTACACAAAATCTTAACAAACTACGGAAAAGATATTTAAGAACTGAACTGCAAACTAGGACATGAATGCAATAACTAATTTTTTATTATTATTTATTTATTCAGAGAAAATGACAACTAGATTATAGTACAGCTTCTACATCAGAACTTGGTAAAACAAATATACGAAAGGGCAAAACCAAATAGTTGAATAGAGAAAATCCACAAAATGAGTATTTCCAATTAATTTTACTTACTCTTCACGTTCTAATCACTTAATATACCTTCCATGCAGCTCTGGAAAACTGTACCAATGTAACACTCCATATTTACAAGAAATGCATTACAGTTCAGTTTGAAGAATAATGGCTCTCTATAAGGCTACTTAGCCTATGCTCCTGACCCAATACAGAAACTAAAATGCATTCATCAGCATTTACCTAACAAAAAGTGAAAAGCTACAAATTTGGTATAATGCCCTGAGTATTTCAGTACTTTCATCCTTAAGCTGTTACAAGCGATAGCCCAAGTACTCAAGAGTAGAGAGTACTGATCATCTAAGCTTTTTATCTCAGGTTCAGTTTCACCAAAGCATCATCCCATTCACTCTCTCTCAGATAATGCATCGCATGAAGATAAGACAGAGAGTTTAGGAAAAAGAAGAAGAAAAAAAAGAAAAAAGAAACTCCCAAAACTTGATCAGATTACAAGCATGCTTATTGCTTCATTTCAATTACCCAAATCTCCTCCCAAAATTGTTATTTAAAATGCTCCCAAAGACTGATATTCAAAAAACACCACAAGGCTACCCCACTTCTTGTGAACTTATTACATAATACTTATCTGAATTATTTTGCCCTTGAATCCATGCAAGCCAACTGACTTGAGAATAAATACTGTTGCTGCTCATGCCAAGGTCTGCATTTTTCCCCAGTTTGCTTTCATTTCAACTTCTTCTCTTGATTGCTCTAAGTAGCAATTTAATCAACTCAACGTATTTTGCAATTTGGAGGCTAAGACAGTATAAAATCCCCCAGATCAAGTCAAGAAAGACAGCTAATATTTCAGCTCCCAGGACTTAAGCTGGCAGAAGCCTATATGTGAGCCTAATACATGAAGTATTCCTCCCCTCCAGGAGGAGGAAAAACTATTTCCGATTGGTTTATACCTCTCTATTGGTTCTCACTGGTGTCATGTATTTTTATTCTGAATAATTACTTTCTGCTACTCTGTTTAAAGAACATGCTCAAGTATTTTACTTTATGCATAGGAAATGAATCTGTATTTAAAAAGCAGTATGTTCAAACTCAAGTGGCAATAAGTCAGCTTAAATCATCTTTGCATAACAATGCAATAAACAGAGACAGTTTGGGCTAGTCAAACATGTGCTGAAGGTTGTCCCATTTTTAAAAGTGCTGCTTTTATTTTTATATTAAAAAACAAACAGATTCTTCCAATGGCCTAGCTTGCAGGAGTAGCTGTTGAATAAAAGCCAGAAATTCCAGAAATTATAGAAATTCAAGTTTAAAAACAGATTATACTCTCAAATTGTTGTTTACCTCCCTGTAGGCGGGATATTTTTTTTTAATCCTTATGTGTGCTTGTGTTCAACATTAAGCACTGCAGAACACACCCTCGACCTCACTCTAGAGAAATGAATTGACAGTGTAGTGAAAACATTCTGAATACACCTATTAATATTGTGCTGATGCCCAACTTTACTATACTGTTCACTCCTTAAAGCAGAAAACATTTTGATATTTTCTCTCTTCCACATAAAGCAATCCAGTAGCGATGATTAGAACTAAACTGCAAAAAGCTCATCCTCCCCACAAACATTGGGAAAAATATGTCTTTCACCACAGTGAACTTATTTGGAGAATATTTTTTTTCTCTTGTCTTCAGATATCTTCAACATAGCCATTTAAATCCTAGCAAGTCAACTGGGACTTGCTTTTTAATAAAGGTCAAGACACTTTTAGGGCATGATTCATGCCTTCTAAATGAGTATGTTCCCACTGACAGGGACAACTGGCTGTATGAGTGTGCAGGAAGGAAGGTAGATAAATAGGCAGGATCAGCTCTGTAAATGTCAGAATATTAAAGGCAATCACATTAGGATGAGAGCAACTGTGCCACCGAAACACCAACTTCTCTCCATTGATTAGCTGAGATGAAGATGTCTACAATGAGGTGAGAGCCACTGTACCATGTAAGTCCAACTTGCTAGTACCAGTTTCTGAGTGTGACCACATGCCAAGTGTCATGGATCAGAATCACCTTCCATACAGCGGCCAATACTTAAAGAAACATACATAATAAACAAAGTTGCTTTTTAACACAGATCCCCATCTGACCCTGGTTTGGTGTTGTTTGCATAGGCCCATTTGACTGCTACAAATCAAACATCTTTCTAAAATGAATTCCAACTGAAACTGGCTCTACATTGAAGTTCATCAGAACACCAAGAAAAGCTGCCTGTTGCATCATGTGTAATCTCAAAGCTGTATGATACAGGAGGTCAGACCAGAAAGAATTTTTCTCTAGTTCAACGTGGCTAGGACACATTTCATGAATGCATAGTAACACTGATTTTTCTTAGAATGGAAAACACACTGACGTTTTAATTAGGGTTCCTAACAGTTAAACAGCTTACAGTCTTCAGATTGTAAAGGACTGTGACATTGCGCTCAATTCCGACTTAGCATACACTCACGAAAATGCTAAGAACACCTCATGTTGAGCCTACACGGGTTAGAAGATGGTCCTCTCTGTAAAATAGCAAGAGGAAAAAACAAACACACACAACAAAAAAAAACACAAGAAAAACACACCATAAAAGATTAGAACTTCCTCTCATTCATAAACTTGATGACACAACACACATTCACAAGCAAAATCAGGTAAAGTTTAGAGTTTCAGCCACCATCAGGTGGCCAATATACTTCATTCTCCATTAGCCAGTTCAAGTGATTACTTCAGTCCCTCTTATCACATCAGCATTATTCATTCAGCACTTCTTTCTTACTATACTTGTTGAATTAATTTCATGAACCCTACTAGATGCCAATACTTCACCCTTGCTACTGCAACTTCCTTACCATGACAGTTCAGGCCCAGTTGCTCCCAGCAAGACCTATAGCTAATGAGATTCCATTTTTGTACAAACTCAAGATTAAGTGGTATCAGAAACCTGCATGCTACGAAATCTAAGTAGAAACAGGGTGGTCTTCTGGGAATTACTCTTAATTTTAAGATCTTCCCACCTTACAGTTCAAGCTCCATTATAACCGAACACAGTAACTTGACTAGAGTGCATAACCAAATCCAGAAAGAGTAGTATCTTGGATGTTTCAGCTTGGAATCAGCAGGCATCAAAGAACAGTTTTAGTACAATACTCAATACCTACATTGCCCAAATCCAGAAAGCTAGGTTTAATGGGATCCAGCAGCCTGTACAAACTGACCTGGGCGTCAGTTCAGCTTGGACCAAGTCTGCTAACTGAAGGGAACACAGAAACAGAAAGAAGAGGTAGTCTGTAAGAGACAGGTTATTTTTTTGCCATTTGTCTGCACACTCACCAGTTTCTTTAATTTCAGCTTTAATAATTCAGCTGCTACTTAGTCTAGTGTTACTGCAGTATAGTAGGGAATGGAAAATCTAGGCCTCTAATTCACTTACAAACTATTACTGGTGTTATGGGTTTTGTCTGGCGGCAAGGGAGGTGTTAAAGTGGTGGCTCTGAGTCACCCTTCCCCCCAAGCGTTTGGTAACAGGGTGAAGTGGGGGAAGGGCACTATCACGTGGCCTTTTGTAAGAAGCTGCTTGCCCATCTTCAGAGTGGACCCACCCCAAGCCAGGGCTGAGCCAATCGACGCCTCTGTGAATAACATACTTAAGGGGGGGGCACAGAACAATGGCTTGGCGGCGTGGCCCTGACCAGGGCATGGCTCAGGTCCGGCCGCCCAGCCGCCTGGCTCGGCTTCTGCTAACGATCTGCCATAGCCCAGCCTCTGCCATGGCTCACCGGGGAGCCCTTCTTCCTTTTCTCCGCCATCGAAGGTCTTCATCAGCTCCTGGGAAGTGGGATCTGAGAGATGATGGAACCGCATGGCACTTCGGTCACCGAGAGAGAGCGCACGTGCTTCTCCGTCACTTTCCCTTGCCATGTGGTGAGTCGGGGGAGTCGCCGGGGGACAGAAGCCCCCTTGGAAGCAGCCGTGGAGGCCCCCACA